GTGAGGAAGATCATTAATGTGAATTAGAAAAAGCAATGGTCCTAATATCGATCCCTGAGGGACGCCCATAGTAATGGGTGCCCCTGCAGATTTCGCTTCATAATAACAAATAGGTAAGTTAGATTTGTTGCTATTAGTTGAACTTACAGTTCATCATACATCAAGTTTTAATGTTTTTATAATGTATGGTGACGGTGAATGAATGAATACGGTTTATTATCCAGTAACAAAGGTAATAAAAAACGATAATTACAGCACTTTATAAAGTACTCGTAAATAATAACATGGCTTCTGGCTAGAATGACGTTTGTACGAAAAACATATACTTTAGAAATTAAGTTTTTATTTAGAAACTAAGATCAATTGTTAAATCTCGTATTCATAATTAAATTATTTTAATAAAAATTCAACAATTAACAACAAACGTCCTTGTGAAACGAAAAGCAAGGTTATTACTTTAAACTTCAAAATCACAAAGACACGTACAGTTATTATACTATCGCTATTGAACTTGCTTGTCGACGGCGGACGTTTAGCCAGGTGTTTATTTATTTATTTATTTATACAGGCACACAAAACAGATTACAGTCACAAAAAGTAAATACATATTTGATAAAATAATTAGGTTTGGACTTCAATCAAGAACTATGCGTACACAACATGGTAATAATAGTTGTCTCATAAATAAATAAAAAATGTTTATATAAATTTTCAAACTATAGAAAAGAAAAGAAAATTAGTTTAAACATTGATAAGTCCCTATTTTATTTATTGTTTCTTTTCTTATTTAGGTGCAAAGCTTTCGTTAGAGTTTCTTTTAAATTTCGCAAATGAAAAGTGAAAAATATCAATATCTTTGTCAAGCACAACGATTTCGTTATAGCAGCGACACATTCGAACAAGTGGATTGTAAAAGGAGGAATTATTTGTGCATATGTCTTTGTGCAAACTAAGTAAGTCATTACATTACACTTGCGGCGACTCTCAAGACTCGTGAGACCAAATTTTTTTAGTCTATCTTGGTAAGATACAAGCGTCCTTTTCGACCCATATCGAAAACATAGCAACCTCGTGAATTTTTTCTGTATTTTCTCAATTCGATTCGATTCACAGTGAACCTTGTAAATCGCATTCCAAACCACACTGCAATACTCAAGAATGCTCCTGACAAAAGCATAGTATAAATAAACAAGACTGTCTGGACGTCTAAAACCTTTAGTGAAGCGGGATATAAATCCCAGAATCTGTGCCGTTTTAGTAATAATACTTTCATAGTAAGCATGAAAAGTTATTTTTTCATCAAAAATAACTCCTAGATCTCTTACTTTACTCTCACGATTCAGTGTTTGAATATTAATTCTATAATCATAATTTAATCTCTTCATTTTTCGAGTAAAAGAAACGACAAAGCACTTATCTATGTTCATAACCATATAATTTTCGTCACACCATTTGACGATCGTATTCAGGTCTTGTTGCAGCATTTCAGCATCAGTTTCGTTGTCCACAATCGCAAAGACCTTCAAATCATCCGCATACAGTAGACAGTGGCATGATAACTTTTGTATAAGATCGTCAACAAAGACTATGAACAAAAGCTATGTTCATTTATACGGTGGGTATGTGTTTTTTTGGTTCTTACAATAATATTGTATATTGAACTTGGTAACCGGCATATTCATCAATAATCGAAAAATATGTCTTGTTATTTCTGATATTGTGATGAAAATAGACTTCATAATCTAATTCACATTCCAATAAAATTTATCTGTGAGATAAAACAGAGAGAAAAAAGCAGCTCATGCTGAGTTTCCTCTAAGTACAAGGTCACCCCTCGTAGTTTTGCGAATTGGCATAATTTTCGACTTTCACCAGTACTATGTAACAGCCTAGACTGAATTGATTTCATATTTATATTAATATTATTCGACGTATGGATGTATTTGTATGTGACAAATACAAGCTGAATTTTGCACTCCGCTTTTTATTCTTCATTCCAAACCTGAATTCGGATGAAAATAGGGTATTTGACGCTTTTCTGAAAGCTATTTTAAATGGTTTTTTGATACACTATAAATACACTGCCAATATATTTCATTAGAATCTGTTCTATTTTTTATGAAAATAGTTGTTAAAATTTAAATAGCCAAAATAGCGCAATAAACGCTGCTCTATGTAATGGCTTTGATCACATGGTATTTGTGACGTCACATGCCAGTAAATATGTCAAGGCGACGTAACCTATTTATCAACTATTTATTTACGAAGTAAACAAATAGTATTACAGAATAGAAATTGAAGTTAAATTTTATGTTTTGCATTTGTATCTACTCTGGTTTTGTTTATAAAAGTGAGCTACAAATTGTATGTATAAATACAAATTTTGCGTATCTCTAATAACACCGTTTTGACATGACAGCTTCCAGTTTACATATGATGTCACAAGCCGGTAAACAGGACCTGCCCTGCGATTCTGTAAAAATCCAGACCCGAATTCGAATTCACTCATGTGTCCGAATCACTCTGGCTGTTATTGGTTGCGACGATAACCAATTACAGAGCGTTTTCGTCGTTCATTAAAATTCCTAAAAATGTTGCATTTTTTCATGTTATTTTACCAAAGTTGAACATATTTTATCTGCAGATTCTAAGAAATAAACTTTATTTGATTATTAACAAACAGGATGCCCATAATACGCAACTTATTTTTAATAGTGTCAAATACTCTATTACGACCAACTAATAAGTTGGCTCATCACTAATGTTGACAAATAAATGAAACATCGTTCCTTTACACGTAACATAGTAAATAACTTAAACTTACGATTCAAATAAATTAAAATTAATTTGAAGATAAGGTATGACAAGAAACACGAAACGATGTCATTTTATAAATTTTCAATGCTCAATTTATTTTTATAACGTCAGAAACAAAATTTGAATTAATATCATACACAATATTCAAACATCGCGAGTGCCATCTAGTATGATTTGAAGAACTAATTTTTATTTTTTAAATACTTCCTCATCCCCTTATCAACTTGACTGTAAAGTCATCGCACCTTTGTTTGACTATATTAGTGACATCATAATTCAAATTAAGTTTTCGAGCACTATTTTCAAATGCATAACCATGCGTAGTATAGTGATTTAGGTGAAAATCTTTAACTGTCGTAGTTAGTACATTTATATTTGTGTGAGAGTAAATGACTCTGTTACAAATTAATCGCAATAAAAATGTCAGCGTCTCCATCAATTTTATGGGATCAGCATTTTCACTTTCAAATACTTTCAAAGCTGATTGAACTTCTCCTAATAAGCTTGCAATATATGTCATATATAGCCAATTACTACATAGCATGCAGAAGTACTGCTGTGTAACAATTTTGCTTGACCTTGCATAGTAAAATGTAACTTCAATTCATCCCATTGTTGTAAAATGCGACTAATTGCTGGAAATATTGATAGCCATCGCGTAGTACACATTTTAAGAATTTTCAATGACTGTGATCCACAATTGATGGTCTCATATATGTGTCGGTATTCATCTTGTCGTTTGGGAGGTAAAGAAAACCAGTTATATGTCTTCCTATGCACTCAATATTACATGGCAAAGTTTTTTCAGATGCATGACTTACCGCTTGTTGCAACGAATGGCATACCCATCGTACAAGTATTAAATTAGGCAATCCATGTTTTGTTTTCAAACATTGATGCAAGCCATTATTCACACCAGTCATCACCGAAGCATTGTCAGTACCCATACTAACAAAATTTTTAATTTTTAAATTATTATCGTTCAATGTGATAATTATTGCTTCAGCAAGCCCGTTTGCATCAGCTTGTGTAATAGGTGTTAATACCAGAAATGTTGATAGAACTTTATTTTGTGAATTAATTAAAATATCTGATTGCTTATTCCTAAAGACACTGATGTCAGTTGACTCATCTAGAATGAGGTTATATTTTTGGTCATCGATATCTAACCTCAGTGATTCTTTGAAGTGTGGTCCCAATACTTCATTAATTATTTCGGGACATTTAGTTCTATGTATATGTATATCATGACCGCATTTAGAATCGGAAAAGAGTGTCTTGCAAATCTCTCCCAGACGCTCTACTGTCATCACGGAACAATGTCCGGCAATAAATAGAGCAATAGCTGCTTCTGTTCTACTCGAAGGCTTTATTTTATATGGCAGGAACTGTGGCAAAGGCTTTTGTTTCGTTATTATTTCCGCTTTTGGTTTGTGTTTTTTAGATTCCGAGTATTATTCGAGTAACCGAGAGTGATTGAGTAACAAATATATCCGTATTTTCATTCGTCTGATGAGAACAAAAAAAAAATCCAAATAAATACGGTGAAGTGGGCGGCGATCTCCAAACGTACTAATCAAATCCTCTTTTGCTTCTTGCCATGTATTAATTTGGTTATTAATACCTAACCACCAAGTGGTTGCATAATCCTTGAGGAGCATCGACATACCTTTGATTATGCTCATGTCCGCGTCTTGCACACAATCTATCTAGCTATCGACGGTGTTGATGAATGATTATACATTTTCATTTGCGCTTCCGCTAAAAGTAACTTTATAATTTCTCTTTCACTAAATGGCGTTGACGTTCTCGACCGCTCGATTCGACTACATTCTTTAGAGAGTCGAATAGAGATACTATGTTCTCCTGCGCGGGCGGCGGCCGCACGGGCGACGTTTCATTTTTAATATTTCCTTCTTGAAAAATAATAAAATTAAGAATGATAACTGAAGAATGATAATGAGAAAACAGGTGCATCAATGTGAAAACAGCAAATCTACTGTTAAAATAGTAGTGTTTCGAGATGACTTAGCGCGGCTAAAGTTGACGTCAAGCTTTTCTTGATCCTAGGACATTGACAACACTTTACTCTTTGCTTTTCTTTCTTATCTATGGCAGGCAGTCATTGAACCGTCAACGCTGAACAAACGAAAAAAGATACTCTATGAACGAAACGAACGGAACGACTAGCGATTTTACTTGAAGGCCCCGCCTTTAGACTCGTGTAATTTAATATTTTAGTTGATTTTCGCGATGACTCTGATATAAACCTGAATTTAGGTAATTGATTGATTAATCTGATGCATTTTCATAAGTGTGATATCTTAATTATTTAAAATGCAGTCAGGAAACGTAATTATTGATTTACCTTCTAGCAATCTAATAGTGCGATTTTCTAATATTTATGAATGTGGATTTGAAAGCGTATAGAGCACTGTATTTACAATAAGAATTTCTTGTAGTCCTGCTCGTGTCACGGGAGACCTTTAATTTAGAGTATTTGATGTTACTATTTATAGTGGGTGTTGTCATTGTGGCCAAGCTTTATTCGGATTAGGTCATCAAGTGCCTGGACATGTGTGCCGAAATGTGTTTTGCTGTGTATCTAAACTGGCTTGTTTGATTTCTTGTTAGATTTATGAAGCTGGATACTGTTGGAATCATGGGTACAGTGAATATTTTGTTGTTCATCGCGATAGTTTCGCACGCTGCCGCGTTATGTGAGTATTTATAATATATTACAATAGTAATCATATTTTACGCTAATCATCTGTTATTTAAAGATATTTTATATACCTATAACAGAATAATAGAATAATTTTAAGTGATTTTTGTTCCTTTACATTTCCTATTAGATCTCAGCTGTAAAAGTTTATTAACACTAGTTCATTTGTGCTTTTTACTCTTTTGCAAATTGAAAGCTTCCAATGAATGTAGCTTCATTACCTATACAATAAATAAATCTGCCATAAAATAATTTATGCATGGGAGTTAATTATGTTTCATTATCGTATTTGTATATTAACAATTTCACATACAGTCAAAGAGCTGTTGTTATAATTAATTTTTGTTTGATACCATCACTACATAGTATAAAACAAAGTCGCTTTCTCTATCCCTAGTCAAGCTACCAATAAATTTTGAAATCTAATATAATTCATGATTAAATTTTATGTGATCAGCTTCATTTAAAACTCAAAGAATAAATCTACAAAATATAACAGAGTTTTGAATCGGTTAAAAGATATTTGACAGCATTGTATATCTCATCATCAGCCCTTTTACATCTCCACTGCAGGGGCTCAGGCCTTATGGATGGTTAAGGAGGATGGGCCATGAACCTCCACGCTGGCCCAATGCAGATTGGAGGGTATTAACGACTGCAAATTCAACCGGGACCAATGGCGTAACGTGCCTTCCGAAATACGAAGTAGCTCGAGATAATAATTTTTTGGTTACCCATCCCGTGACCGACCCTTGCGAAAGTTGCTTAACAACAATGATCGTGGGCCGCGGCGCTTATTCTATACGCCACTGAGCTACTTGGTATATCTGATGTACTGTTATCTGTACATTATAATTTTGCTATTGCTATAATCATCATTTAGTATTTAAGAATGTGTCAAGAGTATGTCTATTTGACAGTAACATCACCACCAAAGATAGTGAAGCAACCAACTCAAGAAGAGCAGTTGTTCCAAGTGGCACAACCTGGTGAAGTAGATAAACCGTTCATCATAGAATGTGAGGCTGAAGGAGAACCAGCACCCAAGTATGTACTAATATATTATAACATTGATCTTTTTCCACTCGCATGTTTCTCCATAAACACCTATTTGAACATTACACTTCTTGCATTATAGCAGTGTTATAAACAAAAACATAAGTTGTACAGTCTGATATCCCTAAGGTATCATTGAGGGGCCAATGTCAAAGTTTATAAGTACCTTCCTTTAAGAATGAATAACAATAATGTCCTCTTACAACAAATAACAGTAAAAAGCAATTTATTTTATGATTTTGATTTCATCAGTTAAATAATTATCTAATGTAATATAAATGTTTTGACCATGACCATTTTTGTCTTATTGGTTCAGAATATAGCATTGTGAATGTACAATTGATGAAATATAATAAATTAGAACAAATTATCATCTTTATCTTTATAAAAATATTTCTTTCGGCTGCTTGAGTGGATTGCCTGAACGTTAGTGAAAATCATAAGTAGCAAAAAAGTTACAAGTGCTTGAAAAGTTCAACAATCCTGTTAGGTCCTAGGTAGTTCAGTGGTTAGATTAATTAATTAGAAATTATCATTTCTTTAATACCAGATTATTTCTACAGAATATCATATTTCTAAACTTATTAAAAGTACTTACTTTTGAACTGTCCAATATATTTTTACAAATTTTACATGTATTTTAGCTACTAAGTAGTATAAGCGAAAGAAACTTATTAGCTCTACCAAAAGTAAAAATATGAATTAATTATATGTAACAAACCACTGTATGAAGTCACTTTCCATTTGATTTAAAAGAATAAAAAACTTTGATCTGAAAATTACATTATTATATGCACCACAATTACTTTTAAACATAAACAATAAAAAGAAATCACCTATCTGGAACACCTTGAGTCCAAGTATTTCTATCTGATTTATAATAAATAAATTTTAAAACAAGTATTTTTAATGGTTTATTCAAACTCCAGACCCCATGCAAAGACCCCTGACTGACTATCAAAAATCGACCCTTAACTAATTTAAATAAGATAAAATATTATTTTTCCATTAAACTAATTTCATTAATAAATCTAAAACTACTCTAGTGCTTATTCATAGTAGTAGGTATATTGTTGTTTGTGTGGGCGCTAAATTGGATTCAAGATTGTCATCTTTGATATTACAATAGTTCATATTGACAATAGCTCATTTCCATGTTGTTTAACTGAATTATTTTTATTATATTTGGTCAATTTTGCATTCATTATATACTATACTGAAAATATACTTAATGAAAAATACTTTAATAATCTACTTTTGAAATGGGATTTTCAAGCATTTTTCATTAAGAATATTGTTTTTTTCTTCTGTATATAATAATAACCTTAATTTAAATCATTAAAAAACCTAGCTACGAGTCCGACTTGCGTACTAAGGGTTCCATACCTTCTATAAAATAACGGATAAAGATCATGTTTATAATATGGGACCTCTTTAAATATTTATATTGTTCTTTTTTTAAATATTTGTTGTTATAGCGGCAAAAGAAATACAGCATCTGCGAAGAATTTTAACTGTCTAGCTATCATGGTTCATGTAACAGAAAGACGGACAACGCAGTCTTAGTCCGTCCGTTTTTACTTTTTGGTTACGGAACCCTAAAAACCTTACAAATCCGCTGTGGATAATTCCTGTTACATGATATTCAAATCCCTATTTGACACCCTTGGGTGTCGAATTTTTCAAAATCTCCTAAGGCCGTATTCTATAACTCACTTACACATGATTAATCGTCAATGTGCCTAGCTCCAGTATCTATCGCTGTTTCTATAGATATAATTATCATTAGATAGATAACCAAATCCTATTCTCAATATCTATATATATCTATATCGCTTAACCAAATGCCAGAAGCTATATTTCTGTTTCGAGTGCTAATGAATAAGAAGATCACTGTGTCATAATAACCGTAAGCGGTGCTGCTGAAATTCCATATTCCAGTATTGATCCATCCAGATGTTTGAGTTGTGCTTGATACGTCGTCCCTTTGCTATTTTGATCGATCTACCTGGATGCTTTTATTTAATATGAATGTGTAGACCCTAAGCTATTAATGTCTGTCAATCCACGAAATATCAGGAAAACTAATCGTATCCACCTTCGACACCGTCGAACTGGAGGCCTGATATTATCGTTTTATTTTTGCTTGAAGGACGTCTTAAATCATATTTTCACATGAGACAGTTTTATTATTATTTTATAAATATATGGTCTTAATTATTAGATTCTATGCTGCCCCCTAAGCTTTTTGTTTTTTCTAAGCCCCCACAGAGTGGCTTGTTTACGAGAGAAATATCATTTATTAATAGATTATACTAAAACGACTGATCTAATGACTAGTTTTTGGTTAAAAAAAACTGCTACACGTGTTTGGATAATGTCTTAATTGATTAATCATTATCATTAATTACAAAAAAAATATCTAAACTCGTTGACGCGTCTGATACAGCTAGTTGCACAAAAGTCCATTAAAATTTTCATTACTTTTAAGTACCGTTACCCATACAGATTTGATATTCATTATAGCTTAAATGCGTCATTAAATATTAATGGATGTTTGTGCAACTGACTGTTAGTATTTCAGCTTTAATCACAATAGAGTATTTAAGTCATTATAGACGAGAAAAAAAAGCTGAAAATATATAATTGAAGTAGCTTAGGCAATAAGCAGCATTAATTTTTAACGTCATTCGTTTCGTAAACAAATAATAAAAATAAGTTTCAAGCAAAATATACGTTAAGAGGTTATTTTTTGAAATAATTTAATGACGAAATGAAGAAAAAGTATTTATTAAAAAAAAACACTATGAAAAACACTATGGTTTTGTAAAGGGTTTTGTAAGGTGAACACACTGCTGTTACAACTGTTTGAATAATAAATAGGTTGGGGAAAAGTTTCTTCGCATTTCATATGAAAATTCAAAGCATTTTTTAAGAAAGTTTATTTGTATTTAACTAAAGTATGTAGGTACTGTTTCGTTCGATATTTTGCCATCTTGTAGGTAGGAACATGGTTCCAATGCTTTAGAAATTTTAGAGCATCTGATCAAAAAACCGCGACAAGCGGTTTTAGGGTATCATGGTGACTGAATCGACGTGCATCTGTGACATCAAAATTTTCGGACTGAAAACGCTTAAACCAAATTTGAGTAACTCTCACAGAAACTGCTCTTGGTCCATAAACATCGCAAACTTTTTTCGCGGCTTGGGTTGCATTTTTGTCATAAAACTTTAAAATGAATAGAATTTCTTTATTCCCTCATTTTTACAAGAGAAACAAATGAAAATCACACATTTCTTAATTTGATTTCGGAGTTATCTTCTTTGAAATGTAAACTTTTTACGATACCGAATCCAGCCAGATACAAATGGTGTAGCCAGACAGATTTTATTACAAGTTCAGGCCTACTATATGCGAAGACTTTTCCCAAACTAATATAAGAAAATTTATATAAAAAACTATTCGTCAGTTGATACTGGAGAAATAAAATATAGCGGTACGAAGGTCACCTATGAAATATAAAATCGGTCGGCATATACCTACTGTAAATTATTTAATCACTACATAGTATAAAACAAAGTCGCTTTGTCTGTCCCTATATTCCTATGTATGCTTAAATCTTTAAAATTACACAACGGATTTTGATGCGGTTTTTTTCATAGATAGGGTGATTCAAAAGGAATGTTTTTATGTATAATACAGGAGTTATATATAAAGCTAGTTATATATATATATATATAAAGTTTAGCTGTTAATTAGATATATCGATTTAATGTAAAGTGTTTGTTGTTAAAAATGTTTTCTGTCTACGTGTAAGTAATACGGCCACTGCAACCCGTCCCGCCTTATAAAGTTTTATAATAAAGGCCGTCGACTTTATGCTATGACTATTGAAATGAAATCGAAACGGACGATGATTGCACCGTCTATATATAGTTACCGCTCAACGTTAAATATCATTACCATGGCACAAGTGCACAGTGCACAGTGCACAGTGTGCGGCGCCAAAAACTATATCATATTTGTAACGATTTGGGCAGGGTCAAAACGTTTATTTATCGAATTTTCTGCTTTTTTTTTCTGTTAAATTAACCAAAAAAAAATATAAATTTAATTTATAATTAATTCCCTGATTATTTACTCATTTCTCATTTGATGACTATTATACGAGATAACTAAAGTACATCTTCCTCATGAATATATACTAATAAATGTTTGACCTAAACCATGGACGAGACGGAAATGGTCTAACTACATATAACGGTACCTTGTTTACGACGGAACACTAAAAAGTACGCTGACAAACCGCAGCAATAATCGTCCTGTTTATTTATATTTCATTCATCCAACAGATTGTCCAACATTGAAATATACCTAATATGATATAATATTGACGATATTTCTTAAAATAAAACTATGTCACATCATGAGTCAATCAAACCTGAACCGGCCGTGACTCGATGAACTCATCTCGCTCGACTCGAGGCCAACGTCGAACATTCAAATCAATATTTTATATATCTATATGAGGTATTCTAAAACATAACACGTGTATGGCATTTACTATGTATTAGTTAGTTCAAGAATTATAAAAGATCCAATCCTGTCTTTTAATTTATTTTATAATCTATTGTGCCTGAATTTTTAGTTAATTAATATCTCTATTAATAAAAATTCCGACCCTCGTGACCGAGTGGTTTGTACGCTGGTTTCAAGCAGTCGCCATTTAAGAGGTCTCAGGGTCGCGTCAATGTGTAAATGAACTGTGCTGTGGTATCTTTGTTATTGCAGAATTTCAAAATACTATTGCTAAAGATACATAATTTAATTTGTTTTCTGAGCAATGTATATGTACAGTATAATAGGTGTAGTACACTGGGTAGGGTAGTAGTAGTATATTTATTTATTCATTTATAATCACACCAGCAGAGCAACCACCTAACTATGTAGCCATGAATGTAGCTATAGGACACAGTATCTTATCTATGTAATTCCGATATTTTTGTTTCATCTTACATGGCTTTTGGTGGATTTTGGAATAAAAATACTAATTTGGTAACACTGTTGTCAAATCTACAATCATCAATTCTTTTTCATTCGTTCGTCGTTAATAAAGTGATAAAGCAGTAAATTGAAATGAAATATCGACACAAAATCGCTAACATGTCGTATCCTATGGCTAGATCAGGGGTAAGCAGGGAATCTGAGCGCCACCGGGCACGGTCCACATGTCTTATGCGTTCCTGACATAGCACTATTCATACATGCGCGTCGGGTCTTTATGGCTTCTGACATCACCTGAAAGCACGAGATTAATTTAATCGTTAAAATCATGAATAAATGAAGCATCGATTCGTAAAAATGATAGATTTATCCATAAAATTAAATTAACTATGAAGATTACTCGTGGTCGTCATTCATCTTACGGCTTTGTCCCATTTATCCACTATAACACTACATTGATATCATCATACAAAACATCATACCAAAACTGAGTCATTTATAATATTAGACCGGATTGTGCTCATTGAAATAGCATCTGCTGCCGAACTATGTTAATAAACCATCTCTCTAAATAGGCTCAAACCAAAATGTGATTGAACTCAATAAATATAACTCAGTCTTCTATACAAGCGCACGCATTAGAAGACTTGAAACGTCAGATTTTTCAGCTAAACGCACAATGCGATCTCAGCCTGACAGCGAATACGTACTAACATATGTTATTTGTTTACAAAACAGGTACAGATGGATCAAAAACGGTAAACCATTCGAGTATACGAGTTACGACAATCGTATATCGCAGCAGCCCGGTCGTGGCACGCTGGTGGTGAGCAAGCCCCGCGACGAGGATCTCGGTCAGTACCAGTGCTTCGCCGAGAACGAATGGGGCACAGCCACCTCCAACTCGGTTTTCGTGAGGAAAGCTGAACTGAACTCGTTCAAGGAGACCGACGGCCCGCAGCAGACGGTCGAAGCGGAGGAAGGCCAGCCGTTCAAGCTCACCTGCTCACCACCGGATGGCCATCCTAGTCCTAAAGTGTACTGGATGCTGCAAGGCGAACAAGGCCAATTGAAAACAATAAACAACTCTCGCATGACGCTCGACCCGGAGGGCAACCTCTGGTTCTCGAACGTGACCAGGTTCGACGCGAGCGAGGACTACGCGTACACTTGTGCGGCAAAATCGATATTCAGAAACGAATACAAGCTTGGGAACAAAGTGTACTTGCAAGTGAAACAGACAGGCTCGTCGCCGATGCAGAACAAACACGAACCCGTCCATCAGTACACCACCAGGAGGGTGGAGAAGGGTCTGAAGGGGAAGCGAGTGGAGCTCTACTGTATTTACGGTGGAACGTGAGTACTCCTTATACATATCTGTTACTGTAGATCGATAAAGGCTTACCGTGATATATTACATAAAGCGGTACGTCGACGATGTCACGTTTCATACGAACGAAATTGATTTATTATACGTTTTTTGTGTTGCTAATTTAAAGTGATATTCTCATCGACTGCTAACATTGTGATTGTCAATCTCAGTTTTATAAAATTATGTTCTATTTTTCTGTAATATTTACCACATTTTTTACGAAATTGCCAAAAGAAAATGTTCTGTCTAAAATTGAATGGCAAATTTAATACCGACGTATTAGAGACAAAATCACAAGCGTGAGTTACAATGATAATATTTCACACGTATCATCAATATATATTTTGTTGAAAATATCTAGAATATTCATACCTATACATATATCTATTATTCGGAATAAATAGATATAGCTTATTTGCTATTATTAAAAATTTATATTATTTATTATTTTATGTAACAGATCTAAGAAAAAGGCAGTGAAAAGTTATAGTTTACGGTAATTGTATAAATTATGCATTGGTAAATTATGCACGATTTAATATTCGTAGGCCGCTACCGCAAATCGTTTGGAAGAAGAACGGGCGGACGATCCTGTCATCTTCCGGTATCACGCAAGACAACTACGGCAAGACCCTCGTGATCAAGTACCCGGGGTACGAGGACGAGGGCACCTACACCTGCGAGGCCAGCAATGGAGTCGGCACCCCCAAGACATACTCCATACAGCTCAATATCGAAGGTCAGTACACACTACCAGGAAAGTTTTTTTTCTAGAATGACAATCGAGTTGGAATAATGCCGCCAAATTAAATTTATAATGAATGATTCACTTAGCTATTACTTCTACTGTTCAATCCTTAAATCTTAGCGGAATTAAAAGTTTTCTTTATTTTAATCGGTGATATAATTTATTTTGTGTAATTAGTAATTTTCGAGTAAAAATTCATGACACACTTTGAATGAGACGTACAAATTAATATCGAAACAGACACCCTTTACTGAGATGTACACCTATGCTTTTTGCAATAAGATATTTTCGGTAAAACTAAATCAAACTAAAGTAAGTTCGGTTCATAAATATTTAGGGAATTTCCATTAAAGTCGGGCAGAGGTTGTGTAGGTTATAAATATTAACATCTTTTTTATGTAATTTCCGTGAAATTACATAAACAAAAATTCTGTTGAATATAGAATGTACTCCTCTTAAATTTTGCAGTCTGTTACAATAGCCAAGGGCAGAATAACGCTAGTAATGTAGTCTTATTTTTTTGTTAAATTTTATTCCATCGCCCACCGCCCAGTTCTGTATATTGTTAATATCAACTCTATAGTGAAGAAATAAAAATTAGCGAATATCTTATCATCATCTATCATCAGCCCTTTTACGTCCCCACTGCAGGGGCTCAGGCCTTCCTTATGGATGGCTAAGGAGTATGGGACCATGACCCTCCACGCTGGCCCAATGCGGATTGGAGGGTATTGACGACTGCAAATGCAGCCGGGACCAACGGCTTAACGTGCCTTCCGAAGCACGGAGTAGCTCGAGATAATAATTTTTTGGTCACCCATCCCGTGACCGACCCTTGCGAAAGTTGCTTAACGACAACGACCGCGGGTCGCGGCGCTTATCCACTACGCTACCGAGTATATATCTTATGTCGACTGAAAATTGGTAGCAAGCGAGTACTCAGATGATTCAAAATGGGACCCAAACACACTACGTCGCGAAACCCTCATCTCAAATAAGTCACGGTCACGATTCGCAAACGTGACATTTGTTCATTCCATCTTGAAAACAATGAACGTAACTCCGATCGATCCGTATAAAAGGAAACTTAGAAATCATCCTGTACATACGCATAATGTATTTCATGTTTATACTTTCATAGTATTTTGTCTAGGTATATATATATCTTTAGTAGCTCGGTGGCGTAGCATAGTGGATAAGCGCCGCGTACCCGCAATTCTTGTTGCCAAGCAAATTTCGCAAAGGTCGGTCACGGGATGAGTGACCAAAAAATTATTACCTCGAGCTACTCCGTGCTTCGAAAGGCACGTTAAGCCGTTGGTCCCGGCTGCATTGCAAGTCGTTAATACCCTCAGGAGGGTCATGGCCTATCCTCCTTAACCATCTATAAGGTCTGATCCCCTGCAGTGGGGACTTACAGAGCTAATGGTGATATCTTTTTTAATGTATATTTCTTCTTTGAACTCAATGGTGTAATCGAAGACATACGACCCTATTAGTCATTTGATGCACATACATTTTTCCGGATCACGTGGATTCGGTATCAATTGTATTTTGGAAAAGTAGTATGTGTCCTCTCTTCGCCCATTGTGTGCCTTCTAACTATATCCATATCAGAGTTAGACCTGGCTGACAGATGAAAGAAAGTTACTTACGCCTTTATTAATTGATCGTACCGCGTAACTAGGCGAAACTCATGCTTCGAGTATAATCCGTTCCCACCCTGCGACCAGTAAAAATCCAAACCCGAATTCGAATTCATTCTGGTGTCCGAATAAACTTCGAAAAGCCGCATCCGCTCAATCTTGAATTGGTAATAGCGTTTCGTATTACTTATTCATATACTCCAGGAATTGAATATCTGGGACACGTATAATAAATCAATTTTGTTTTGTATTTTTATACAAAAAATGGAATCAGTAGAATTTTTACACCAAATGACACATGAGTGAAATCGCTCCCCTGATCCACAATCTTACGCTTACGTTTAATGGAAAGATAGGAGCTCAAAATTAGAATATAATGGCAGTTGCATGACATTTAATTAGTTACGCGGTAGAGCCCCATATAAAAAACGAAACTGAAACTCGACGCAAAATGAAGGGTGTTATAAGTGTGAACTGTCTGTAGCACCGTAGCACCTTAATAAATGAACCGATTTGACTGCGGTTTTTCATTATGGTGTATTATGAAAATTGGATTAATATTTTAAGAGGTACAAGAGTTTTGCTTAGACGAGGTAAAAAATACCCACTTAACTTTAAAAGACACAGACAAGAGACATAAAACCTACACAATGGGAGACAACACCAGTGGCGGACTAAGGGGGGCCGGGTTCGGTCCGCCCCGGGGCCTCTTATCCTGGGGCGCCTCCAAATATCTGCAAATTGCCTTGATCAAATCATATATTGGGGTTGTAGTGTAGATACATAGAATATTCTTTATTGTACACACAAAGACAAAATACATTTATATGACGAAAACAGGAGACGTGATCTTTCTTATGTCTAGTTTCGTAATCTTAGCTGTGTAATATCAAGTTGTAGGTTCGGGGCCCCCGACGGGATGAGTCCGCCACTGGACAACACGAGAAGAATTATGAGCTACTTTATTCAAAACGTTACGCAACAATACATTTTCTCCCCCGCTTTATATTTTCAAACATCGCATTACGTTATTACGCGGTCTCTTGTACTTAATATACTGCGGTTTAACAGTAACAATACCAATATTAGTAAGTTTGCCGAGGCCTAGGCTTGGGAATCTTTCTTCTCGTAATAATATCCGTTTAGGGTTCCGCACTCTGTAAGAAAAAAGGGTATCCTTATAGAATCACTCTGTTTTATGTCTGGCCGTTCATCCCTCTACAGTATGATAGCTGTTCTTCGAGACAGAACGGACATGAAACTTGGTTCACATATGTATATCCAATCAAAATGAACGTAAATAATTATATAAAAAAAATGGAAGGCACTATTTATAAAAAGAAAATTAAAGAAGTTTAACAAGCTCTATTGAGTTTCATATCAAATTAAAGAACTTGTTATAAGAATAACGGGTCTTTTATTTTAATATAAACAGTTTTTATTAGTCTATTAGTATAAACAGTATAAATATATTATTAGTATAAACAGTTTTTATTTTAGTAAGAGAAAATGTTACGGATGGCTTATTATTATTTGATACTACTGAAACTAGTCCTCTCCAAAGAGATACGTTTTAAGAAAAAAAAGTAGTGAAGTTTAATATTCTTCGTTAATATTAACTTACATATCCTCATACCATAATTGATTGTATGTCAGAACTAAGCATTAGTATAACAGAGGAGCTGTCAGCCGCCCACATTAAAAAATTGTAGTTGCGTCGGGCATAACAATGCACGGTACATTGTACCAAATAAAGGGTCCCGTAGTGAGGCCGCGGTGGGCCGCTTTAGGCGCCTACTTCCTTGCAACGTTACTATATAATTGGTGGAATATTAAATTATTGGACGCGTCCACGATCGCGATACTGACATCTGCACTACTAAGACAATGGTAATCGTCTACGATGCCAAATTAAGGCTGGCTATTACCACAGATCTATATTGATGTTATAGAAAGGAAAGATTTTATTGTTCGATTGCATTGAATAGGCTCCGAATATATTCGAGCAATTTAATATGTTCTTTCACCTACGGGTAGCGCAATCATAGGCGGGTGACATACGCTATTATTGAGACAGGCGAAGTCGCGGGACTAGCTAGTAGGCTATAGTTAATGTGGGCAATATTGCGAGATTTATTTATATTTATTATATGTAGTATTATATTAGGTATTATAAAATAATTTCCTAAATATTTACATTAAGCATACTTTATCTTTGACGTTCGTCTTCTTAGCTCCATATCCGTACTCATATAATATTTCGAAAAGTTTGTTTGTCCGTTCTTATATTATCTTATTTTTATGTATGGTAACTTTAAATAAAATAGTAACTATTTGTTGCCCTTTAAGCACACGGGGTAGCCGCCGAAAATTCTAACTTTTAATGATAACAAAATTTTCACAAAATACTCCTCCCTCTTCCTACTGAGTAATAGTTGTTGTGTATTTCTGAATATATTATTCTTGTTTACGATGTGTTTATTCAGTATCTCGGTATTATCTAAACTTTATTAAAAATAGATAATAGTAAAAAATATATTGTAGATCAATTCAGATGCACCCCCGTCGTTATGCGTAGAGTTTCCGCAATTCCTTTATTACATGCTCTAAGAAATGCGAGAATCGATCGAAGGAATAAAGCCGGTGTGCAAACACACGGCGGCGGTCCGGACTAGGGCTGCTAATGTGGATATGGCAGGACGAGTTTAATTTGCCGTTATCATAAAAATATTACAATTCTTCGGCAACCGGTTAAAGTATAAAGGCTTCTTCCTGTACGGCTTTTCTCAATGTTCAGTATTTATTATGAAACTTAGAATGAGTGCTACTTTTCATATTTTTTTATTTATTAAGAACTTTTTGACTATTTACAATAAAACTTAAATCTAGACATATTTAGAAAAAAAAAAATAATGAGCATGAACTAGATGAACCTGTTTGCCGGGAAAAATGAGGGATACATAAAAATAGACCACATCACATGCATTGCTTAGATCCTAAATTAAGTAGCTAAAGTAGCTCGGTGGTGTAGTGGATAAGCGCCGCGGACCGCGATCGTAGTCGTTAAGCAACTTTCGCAAGGGTCGGTCACGGGATGGGTGACCAAAAAAAAATTATTATCTCGAGCTACTCCGTGTTTCGGAAGGCACGTTAAGCCGTTGGTCCCGGCTGCATTTGCAGTCGTTAATACCCTCCAATCCGCATTGAGCCAGCGTGGAGGGTCATGGCCCATCCTCCTTAACCATCCATAAGGAAGGCCTGAGCCCCTGCAGTGGGGACGTAAAAGGGCTGGTGATGAAAGCAACTTGTATTGTGGAATTCTGAAACAACGAATGCAACACAAAC